GCCATAAATCTGGGTTGTATACACACATTTCTAAGATATAATGTATAATTTCTAAGATAGAAGGATAAACATTGCGTAATCGTATTTGGAGAAAACACATTTTTCAAAATTAGTCAATTTGTTTGAAGAATGCTTTTAAAAGACAACCAAATGCACGTGCTTACTTGTACTCCATATAACTGAGGGTATTTGAGAAAGACCTGAAAGTATCAAACATGCTCTCTATTCAGACAGACAGAACATTCATGTAAGGACACTTCTATCACTGCAGACAGACATAATCAGCAATTCTCTTTTATTGACCACAAGTTCAATCACCTGCAGTGGCTGACCCTGAAATAGCACCAGAGCTGTAAGAAATGCAGTGCTTGTGTAAGGATCTGGAGAGGTCTGACCTGCTGATACAAAATCCTGATACACGTTTATTATATCTTATTTATATGTATGTATTACAGATATATAATATCTGCACAGGCTATTGCAAATGTAATTCTACAAATTCATGCCTAAGAAAATACATTCTTCTGTACAAAATCTTACCTCGTGCTGCTGTTAATCTGACAGTTCTCGCTGTAATGCGAAAATAACACTTTGTAAATGGGTCTTTTGTAATTGCAGTAAATTCTGAGTGGAAAAAAAAAAAAGACCAATCACCTTTTAGCATTGTTTTACTGATTGGCCATGCTGCCTTTCTACAGAGCTGATCCTGAAGCCCTTGCACAGGCAAATCTGTAACAGAGCTGGAGTTCTATACCCCAGGATTGTTGGATTAGGTCTCATGATTGCAGTTAAGTATTGTCAGCGATTAAGGACAGTTAATCTAGAGAGTAGTTAACCTGAGATTCTTTTTCCCAGTGCTCAGGACAGGCTAAGTGTGGTATCTGTGGAGAAGCACACATCCAGGATTCATGGCTTATTTAACGTGATGGACATGCGATAACTTCAGGAGTTCCGGATTAGGTCTTTTAATTGCTCTTGTCACTCAAACCGCGTTGTATGTGCAAAGTGGGGATCTCTAGTAGAATAGAATAGAACAGAATAGAATAGAATGGAGTATTTGAGTTGAAAGGACCATGCAGATATCAGCTCACCAGCGTGGATCCAGTGGGGCCTGCAAGGTGCACCAATTTGGGACAAGCCAGAGGGACCCTCCCTCTGAGAGCAGAGGTTGCACCAAGAATTTATATTGTGGTTGAGTACAGTGAGTCTGGTGGGTGTGTTTGTAATCCTCTTTACTCCTTGCTGTCCAGCTCAGGTATTCCACTGAGGACTGTTCCTTTGAGGAGGAGATCCGCCCAGACGGCTACAACGTGTACAGGTCCAAAAAACACGGAATATCGGTGTCCTTGAGTAGCGCCAAGCAAAGACAGCAGTTCAAGGGAAAAGATTTTCTCCCACTGTCTCATTTCTTGCCGATGATCAACACTGTGCCCATGGAGTCCACAGACTTTGGGGAATACGGGGATTACAGCCAGGCCTTTGAGCCAGAGGTGTATTCCTCGCCTCTGGAAACGGACAGCATGGACCCCTTTGGCATCAGCTCCAAACTGTCCCCGGTGAAGAGCCCCAGCTTCCAGAAATGACTCTGATCACACACAGGTTTTTACAGAAATGTTGCAGAGTACTTTTTTTAGCGTTTCATGTATGTAAAATTTGGAACTTTTTTGTACGGGGCCAGCCTTTTCCTTGCAATGTGTTGTGCCTGTGAGAGATGAGTGCCAAGAGGCTGTTCTGTAGCCTAAAGAACTGCCTATCCATAGTTTTGTTTGGAAAAGAAGGGTTAAAGGGGAAAAGCTTAGCAGCTTCACCAGAATTCCTCCATTACCACGGCGATGATAAAATAACTGTAATTTTTCGACAGCAACTTCATTTCCACATATGTTCCCCTGTTATTTCTGCTCATAGGAGCAAATGCAGAAAACTTTTTCCTCCTCAGAGACCTTAAAGACAAACATTTGGAACAAAACTCAATTAAGGAAAACCTAGCAGATGCAATTACATGAACTGGAATTTATGGTGTTTCTTGAAAGGCTGCTGACAGCATTCTGGGAAAAAACTTTCTATTGAAAGCATACTCCTGAAAAAAACCTCAAATCTGCTTGTATATTGTGCTTTTTCTTCCCTTAGGAAATAAGGGAAGAAAGGGGAAAAATTTCTTCCTTCCCTTATTGCTAAAGGGTAGTTGGGAAAACTCAATCTTTGATTTCTTTTGTAGGCTAATTTAAGTTCTCTGTGTCATCAGCATCATCCAGCAGAGAGCTCTCATTAAAATTAGCGAGAATTCAATGTGTGGTTGGATGGAAGAGTGCACAGAACTAACATTTACGTTCATCAGGTAGGGAATGAGCAGTTCAAATTAGTGTATAAATTAAGATTCTGTTGTATATAAGCATGTATGTCGTTAGCAAACGGAGAAGAACACTGGAGAAGGATAATGTATAGGTCAAATCAACTGCAAAATAGGTTTTTGTGCTTAACCTTTAACTATCACCAATCCTTTCAAGTCACTTCCAGGCTTGATTGAGCATCCCTGGGAATCTGTGGAGAGACAGTTTAGTGACTTAAATGCTGCAGAGCTGAGTCTGCCATGAAACTGCAGGAATGGGTTCTGGATGTCTCATGGCCAAGACACAGATGTCTGATGTCTTCAGTTCTGTTCTCCCTTTGAAGTGAAGGAATGACCAGGGTGAAACCAAAGAAAAAGCCCCCAAAAGTTAGAAGATGTTTCCAAAGGTTCCTTCTTTCCAAAGGTTCATTTATTAGAGATTTCTGTAGAAAAAAAAAAAAAAGAGCTCTACTGGAAATACTGGTGTTCTTCTGACCTAGCACTTCATTGCCAATGCAATATTTATAATTAATTTATTGAATTCATACGTCTGTTTATTTTGTTACTGTTATTTATGCTCAAGATTCTATTTATATACTCCTGAAAGTGAGTTTTTTAGTCGTAACAAATCTCGTGAAGTTTGGTAATCGTGAAATTTTAGCAGACGATAGCTTTTTAAATTTCTGTGCATTATCAGTAGCTGTATTGTGTACATTTGCAATAAAAAAAAAAAAAAAGAAAATCATCTTCAACACTGAAATCTTGCTGACTCTTTTGTCATCCCCTCGGTCTAGAGACTTCAAAGAGCTTCAGCAAACTGTGGTGTCTGTTCTTTGCAGCAGCCACAGTGAAGTTGGAATCCCTTGGGAAGGTGCTTGAGGCACAAGAGACAAGGGCATGGAGAGACAAAAGGGTTTTCCCAAAGTTAGGCAGCACTGCCAAGGCCACCACTAAACCACGTCCCTGAGTGCCACATCAACAGGTCCTTTAAATTCCTCCAGGCATGGGGACTCAACCACTTCCACGAGCAGCCTGTTTCAGTGCTTGTCCAAAAAATCCCGTGGATGGAAGGCTGCTCCCTCTTAAAACTGGGAACGACACTCACCAGTGCAAACGGGGAGAAAACTGGTTATTTTTGCCTGAAAAAGGCGTTGGTTTCTGGCAGGAAAAGAGACTGAATGCTTCTGTTTGGAGATGCTGTGAGTCACAGGAACTGCAGGTTTCTCAGCTGGCAAACATCTCCCATGGTGTTTCCCATTCCCCTTTTTGCTGAGCCACTGCCACACATCCGGATGGTTCCCACTCCTCATATATCAGGAGACCTACCCCTGATTTTCAGTTGTTTTGTTCCAAAAGTTTTCAGATTTGGGGCATTCTGTTTTTCTGTGTTTCACTTCCAGTTTTGGTTGAACATTAGATACCTTTCAAGCCTTTTGTTTTTGCAAAAAAAAAAAAAAAAAGAAAAACAAAAAAGAAAAAACCCAGAAAATAAAATAAAGTATATATGAACTTATAAAGTTTGGTCAACAAAAAATTCCACTTTTATTATTCTGCTAAAAAAAAAATTGCACAGATTTGATGGGAAATAAAGGAATTCAGAGGGTATACTGTATAATTTCACCAGTGAGAGATTCTGAAGTAGATATAACATTGTGAATATTGCTCAAGGGTGCAAAGACAAACAACCTTCAGTTTGCAAACATCATCTTGAGCTCTCTGGTGACTATTTGCTGACACCTTTGGCTTAACATCTTCCACCAGCAGCACAGTGTTTCTCACTACAACAGCATGGTTGGTTCAATATTTATTCAGACAGAGGGAAGAATGCCAAGGGCTGAATTACCCACACCACTTCCTGGAGCACTTCGGCTTTCCTTGGAGTTTTCCCATCCAAGCTCTGACCAAACCTGGCTGCTTTGCTTATAAAATCTGACAGGATCACAGCTTGAGGTGGGAGGATTGCTGGAAAATGCTTTCCCTGCCATCTGACACCTGACTGGGTCAGGAACTCGGTGTGCAAAACCTCCAAACAAACCACTGCCTTTGGATCTGTGGGAATGTAAACACCACCACCACCGTTCCAGTGTAGGTCCTGGTCGATCAGAGTTTCTCAAAGACAGTAGGACAACTGCGGTGCTTTCATTTGCAACAGTACGTTTTACAGCCCTGAAGGGTTTTTTTTTAAAGGTCAGGTGTCAAATGTCTCCTTGTGAAGTCTCAGCTGGAAGCTATGATATGCAAATACGAGTTGTTAGAGCAGTGGGAAGGCTGTGGGGAAGGAGATACTGGGCATCTTCATTTCCACTTGGAGGAAGTGTAAAAAACCCTATAAATCCTTTATTCAAGAGTCACAACGTCCACTTTACCTCTGCTCAAAGCACTGAAATCCTGTTGGTGGAAAACGTGGGGCCACTCTGTCTACTCTGCCAGTGTACAGATTGGAGTATAACATGATAAATTAAATAAGTGTTCTCTCTTTCCTCAAAGATATACATCAACCAACCCTCCTCGGGCAGCAGTGAAAGCAGAAACACATTTCCCTTGGAAGTGAATGGAAGTGCAAAAAGGGCATCATCAGGATTCTGATTTCGGGGTGAATTTGTGGCAGTTTGGGGACACAGCAAGTTTATCAGGAGCTGTGTTGGATGAGACTGATCACTTAAGGCATGTAAGGATGCCCTCAAATGAGGCTGGTGTCTTGCAGTCTTCTTGCCAGGACATTGTTATATTTTCAGCGTTTTTCATCAGTCCCACAATGTACTGAGATCAAAGAACTGCTTTTTTTTCATTAATTTCCAAAGCAACATTTAAATTGTAGCACTTAGCTGAGAGGAAATCCTCAAGAACATCTTATATTTCCACTGCCATCAGTGACCAGTATGTGAATGTCTGGTTGTAGAGCAGGTTGGTGTTCACACCTGGCAAACCTTCAGTGATTTCATGTGAGATCCAGTCACATCTACACTTTAATGCCAAAAACAAGCTGGACAGCTGCTCTTTATAAATCAGCATTGCCTGCTGTGATGAAGAACTTTTAATGAACTGTGATTTCTGTACCTGCTTAGCTAAACCTTTAGTAGCATGACTTTATTTTCACTCTAATGCATTTCTGGGGAGGTTTTATATCGATCTCTGGATTTTGAAGTTGACTTTTCAAGTCCTCTGCCCTCCTGTTTCTGATTTGGAAGACAACAGACTCTGACAGACTGGCAGAATACTGTGGTGTGCCCAGAGCCACATCTTCATTAAGTATTTAGAAAACAACAACATAAATCAGCATTAAAATATATATTTATAGATAGCTATAAGTGTTTCCTTTGACCAGTGTTGATCTGTAATAATAAATAAGAGATGTAACAGAGCAGCCTAGAATGGCACACTGCAGTTTGGGTTGGGTATTTATTAAAAAAAAATTTACATTTTAGAATCATAGATTGGATTGGAAGGGAACTGAATGATCATCTCATTCCAACCCCCCTTCCATGGGCAGGGACATCTTCCACTAGACCAGGTTGCTCCAAGCCCTGTCTAACCTGAACACTTCCAGGGATGGGGCAGCCACAGCTCCTCTGGGCCATAGCTTAATGGCAGCAGAAGGTTCTCAAATGAAGTTTCTAAGCCCGGTTTGGGTCATCTGTGGTCACTAAAGCTGGACAATGTTACTGCAAAGTGATGTCAAAGTTTGCATGTGAACTTGAGGGCTGTGACACTTCTTCGCTGGGCACCCTGTGCCAGCACCTCCCTGCCCTCACAGAGAGGAATTTCAGGCATCAAAAACAGACAAAAATCAGAGATGTCAATATGCTGTGAGAGAGATGTGCATGTTCCATCATTCTGTGGCCAGTGATGGGACTGGAAGGAATGGCTTGAAGTTGTGCCAGGGCAGGTTTAGGCTGGATATCAGGGAAAGGGTGGTCGGACACTGGAACAGGCTCCCCAGGGCAGTGGGCACAGCACCGAGCCTGACAGAGCTAAGGAAGCATTTGGACAACACTCTCGGGAAGGGGGCAGAACTACAAATGCCTGCACACCTCAAAACAGTCCGTGTGGTGCTGTGCTTTCACCTGAAGAGACCCCAAGGTAATAAATACAGGGCACAGTTTGGATTTGCTCACTGATCTGTGTAAATGAAAGCCTGTCCAATGGAAGCTCTATCCCCCCTCTGTGTCACCGCATGGCTCTAAGCTGAGGAGCAGTCGGGGTGGTCAGCTGTGAGTTCACTGCTGAAATGAGTGTGTCCTTACATAGGACACTTGCCTTTAGTCATCGTGTTTTTGTCTACGTACATACTGTGATCATTACCCCTGTGCTTTGGTTTGCAAATGTCTATTACTTCCACGTTTCCTCCCTACCATCACGTTTGACAACTGGACTGCTCTGCTGTGGTGTGCCAATATCCCGGGATGTGCGGCTCCCACGTCCGCAGCGATTAAAGGCTACTTCTTCCCTGCCAGTGCCAAAGACTGGCATGTGACACTGAGTAATGAGAGAATACTAGTTATTAAACAGCTAAATGAAAACTGGGCGTATAAACTGAACGACTGGCACAAATATATAATCTAATATTTGACT